TTGGAAACTAGACTCATAGATCTTCAATTTGATAGGTAGATCACCCCATAATTCCAAGCACATTGGGAGAAAAATGCAGTAACATTTGACCTAAAGTTTAAGTAAAATTATAAACCTAAGTTGTGACAACTTTTATCGACTTTTGTTTCATAACTCACTTGACTTCAAGACTTATGATACGGATATTATATGATTCAAATACATTAAAACAAGACCTCTTGGGACAGTTAATCACCTCTAGTGTTACCCGAAAATATGGGTTACAACATCCTTGATTCGTTTAACTTCAAATACTTGTTAACCACTCTTATACACCCTTGTATCGTTTAAGACCATCAGGATTAACTTCTTATCATCTAAAAGATAATCTCTTCTTGGATTTACGTCGACTAACTTACGGCGTGATCTATGGTATGCGAATTTGGGTTGTAATATATGAGTGGTTGCTCCAACATAGTGTACCGGGATATTATACAAGGAGATAAGCCTAGAAAGGTGGAGAAGCTGGTTGAGATAACCTTGTGCTGAAAGTGGCACCATTAGGACAACCACTTGTGCATCTTGAACACCATTTTGGTCATGGCTTTTGTTTACCCTAAAAAAGGATAACAATTAAATGTATATGTGGTTTTAAGAATACACAGATTAATTCAATACAAATGATAAACTATATTACATTAAATAGATAAAGGACACAATAAATTGTCAAACCATAAGGGGAGTGATCCCCAACTCAATAACAATTTTAATAAAATGCCTGCCTTCGATCCCGGGCTCACGATAATGAAGAACCGATGAACAAAAGTAAGAACTTTGAATAACAGAGAAAATAAGAGTATATTACCTTGATATGCGTGTTACCATGATGCCTAATGAATAGTTAGACTCCTCTTTATATAGTGGGGGAGTTTTACCCTAAGTACAATTCCAAAAGAGGTAAAAATCTTCTATTTTACTAATCACTAATTTTCTACCGATACGTGCCCAGATTCACGCCGTAATATCCGGTTGAGCATGGATATCATTGCCCTTTATTTTTCGTGCTCGATTATATGGTAATGCTCTCCGAAGTTTTGGAGTTCGAATCGGACCTAGGGGACGTGGCCCCGATTCTTCCGAGGGTAGGTGTATTTCCCGGACCCCGACTCGAGGGACTCCTTGCCCCGACTCTAGTTCCTTACGGTCACATCTCTGCTCCATTTACTTCATATGGAACCGAGGCGTCCAAAGCGCTGGGTTTCACTCGTATATAGATAGTCCCCTCGTTTCTCGAAGAGTAAGTTTACGGAAACGATGAGAAACAACATATGCACTTTGATTCCTTCTTCAATACGCCATGATAGAAAAGACAAAGAATCTGAAAAGTACCGCCAGTCGTGTCATTATGACTTCAAACATGCATCAGCCATCAGCATGTCGTCCCTGAATGTGAAATGGCTCAAAACCTCTATAAATACTTTCCTCCTTCGTTCATTTCTTACCTTTTGGCCAAGCTTCTACCTTCGAGTTTTCAGAATATCACTACCCTTCATCACACTCTAATATTTTAACCTCCATTCTTCAAAACTTCTCAGTAACATGCAAGTTTTTACTTATTTTCTACCCAAATCAGTGCACTTGATCTTTCATCTTTCAACCTCTCTTCATATTTATCAAGCTTTTTCCAGATAACAATGGCTAAAACTTCCAAATCTGTTCCCCAAAAAGTCGCTTCTTCTTCTTCACAACCGACTGGTGAAATCGATGATATTACTCCCGATGTGGTTGTCCTCGAGAGGTCCGCTCGTGACGCGGGTACCGATGAACCGGCTACCAAGCCTCCCTTGAAAATGTTTGTTCCCGAGGGTTGTTCGGTTGCCGATGAATTTAAGGTTGAGAAGCTCTCGTCGGTGCAGGGGCGGTGTGAGGGTGCATCAAGATATATATGCTCCATTATCGAAGACATCCTTCACGTGGTCCGAGAGGACTGCAACTGGGCGGGTCAGGATGTAGTAGACCCTGGGCCTGCAGATGCCACCACTACCCACGTGGAGGGTTATCTAAGTGTTTATACTTATCTCTTCACGTTGGGCCTGGTGGACCCCGTTATCTTGGATTTTTGCAAGAGGTACGAAGTATGCCTTGGCCAAATCCACCCATCGCTATGGATGATCGTGATCCTCCTTCGTTATTTCGTGAACAAGACCTAGTCACATCTGTTCACCATCGATCACCTTCTCCGCCTATACAATCCCCAAATCTTCCAAGGGGGACTAATAAAGCTCATACGTCGGGCCAGCAAAGCCCCATTCTCGATCATCAATGAGGACCAGGACCGAGGCTGGCAGGGAAATTTCATTCAGGTGAAGACAGAAGACTTGGTTCCCCCCGAACTCATGCCGTTCCTCGAGAAGTGGAACGCATCCCGTAAGTATAGTTTCCCCTTGAATGCCATTTTACCTTCATCTCCTCTTTTCTTACTGGTATTTGTGGTGGTGTGATAAGTTGGTAATTTATCACCTTATCTCGTCTTTAATCTTAGATTTTTGCTATGTTTGATTGATAAAACAGTGTGTTTAATGTTGTTTACTTCTACTTTACAAATTTTATGTGATTTAGAAGTGATCAGGAAGAAACCAAGCAAAAACAAGTCAAAAAGGGGCTCAAAAGAAGAAATCTGGAAATTAGCCTCAGGGGTCGCAAATGCGAGCAGTAGCTCGCAATAGCAAATCAACCAAAAAAGTCAACGTTCGCAAATGCGAACATGTGAATCGCAATTGCGAAGCCAACTGAGTCAAACAATGTTCGCAAATACGAAATAAGGTCCGCAAATGCAAAATCAAGCCAGACAGTCAACCTTCGCAAATGCGAAGTTTTCATCGCAAATGCGATAGTCAACAGGAAAGTCAAGGTTCGCAAATACGAAATAAGGTCCGCAAATGCAAAATCAAGCCAGACAGTCAACCTTCGCAAATGCGAAGTTTTCATCGCAAATGCGATAGTCAACAGGAAAGTCAAGGTTCGCAAATACGAACATAGCTTTGCAAATGCGAAGATCACGCTTCAGTTCTGGGCTCTTCTGTAATTTCATATCCTTTGGCCCCAAACCCTTTAATACACGACCTAGCTAATTAGAAACACATCTTTGGCCGCTTTGGTTAGTCTTTACACATATTTGGATGATTTTTGGCATTTTTGGAGCTAGGGTTCTTGCACACACATTTGGGTCTTGAAGATTTGGAGGTTTTGGTGAAGAATTTCTTACCCATTTATGTTCATTTCTTCATTTTCTTGATTTGTATTGAATATCTAAGTGTGTAGTATTTTTTCCAATACTTGAATCTTGTTTATGGGAATATTCATATTTAAAGTGTGGATTAAATATATTGTTGTACTTATGTATTGAACGATTTTTATTTATTATGAAGTGAATTATTGTTTCTTTAATTATTCTTGTTTTTTAATATTTCCAAAGGTATTAGCTAACTCTAGGACTCACCCATTCACTTCGAATTAATTTTGGGAAAAATAGTTTGGGGTTGGGAAAGATTAATTAACAAGAATATGAGGTGTTAACCCTCACTTTATAGATTCTACCTAGGGATAGGATTGAACTACTTGTAGCCATATTCGGATGTGCTTAATCTCTTAATTATTTTAGGGATAATTCAATTAGGAAGTCTTGATAGTCTTCGGAAGAAGCTAATATATAATTATTACCCGAGGCTAATTAACATAAACTCGCTCATATTTGTAAAATCGTGAAATACATTTGATCGTTACTTTAGTGTAATTCCCAATGCATCCATGCTTGTAGCCACTGATCATTTTTACTTGCTTTCTAGGTTAGTTTATATTTCTGCATTTAGCTATAATATTTTCACAATCACCTTTTAAGTATTTGGCTTAGACTAATAAGTGATAATTCTCGTACACGCCTAATCACCTACATATTGTTCTCTGTGGGATTTGACCCCGACTCATAGTTGGGTAAATTATATTGCATGCGATCGTGTCCATTTACATTTTAGTAGTGGATTTGGATGACATCATGATGCAGCCATCGCTCGAGTCCCAAACGCGATCCCTCAGCTCAAGGAGTGGATTGAGGGAATTTGTTCACAGATGCCTTATTCCGAGTGCTCATGGCGCAAACTCTCGAGGGACCATTGGGAGGCATGTTCTCACGGTAAGACCCTTCCTCGAATAGGTAACATCTGGCTCTCTCATTCGCATCATACTTACCCTATTTTCTTCACTTTTCCTTTTGCAGGTTTGCCTAAGACCATTGAGCTTAGACCTTTAGTAGGGGACGAGGATCCGCCCCCTCCTCTTTGGGGAAGCTCAGGGCTGTAGCAGGAGAAAAGAAGAAAAGGAAGGCTCCGGGCTCCCCGAGCTCAGAGAGGAAGAAGCCAAAGAAAAGTTTGGCCCGTAAGCCAAAGGAAAGTTCTAGCTCTCGAGCGCCCGACTCTGATTCTCTTTATCAGGTCAGGGATGAGCCTGAAGAAGATGATTTTTTCGTGGCCCACGGGCCGACATCCCCTGAGGAGCGAGCAACTGTTGCAGAGGAGATCCATAAAGCTGATCCCCCTCAAGCCCGGGGGGTAGATGAGAAGACCAGGGCCGAGATTTCCCGGAATGCCAAACACACACAGAAGGAGGCACCCATTGTAATAGAGATTTCTAGGTCACCTTCCTATACTTAGTCCATGCTCGAGGAGGCCCGAGCGGGGAAAGGAGAGGTCTAACGAAGGGAATCGTGGTGCGGATGATACCCTTCATTCCATTTTTGATGATGTGGACTCGTCCATTTTGGAGGATTTTTTCGGGCTGGGCGACCTGGAGGTGTCGAGAAAGGGGTCGTTTCAGAAATCGGCGGGCTGAATTCTAGCCCGAAATTAGTCAACCAATTCCCTGCCCCAAGCGTAGATCTCGGTCGCAAGAGGTCGATAGTTATCACTATCCCGGAGGACGCCCAAGTTCATTTCGCTCCCGTGGGAGTAGCGAGCCACCTTCGATGCCTGGTGAACGAAGAAGACCAGGCGAAAATGAACGAGGTGGACGTACCATGTCTGTTCAATGAGGCACAGTAGACACTGAATCGGGTAAGGTATCATTACGATATTTCGACCTTTGACTTAATCCTTGATATTTCTCATGTCTTCTTTCTTTTACCCTTTTGCAGGCCTTGGTGCTCCATCACGAAAGCTTTCTTCGGTACCGGGCTGAGGTTAACCAGCTTGAGGCTGAGATCAAGGAGCTTGCTGAGAAAAGAGACATGTATAAGCTTCTCAGCGAGCAACACGAAGGGGTCGTCAAGAATCTCCAAGCTGAGCTGGATACGGCTCAGAAGGAGCATGCCGACTTGGTAAAAAAGGTAAAGGTTTTTGAAGTTAGAAATTAGGATTTAGCCATGACGACTAATGACCAAACCCCACAAGTTCAGCAGAAGATTGACCGGATCGACCAACTTCGAGCTTAAATTAACGAGGTCCATGCCATGGCTAATGTTTGGAAGGGCAAAATGGACCGACTAGCTTCGAAGAAGGAGACCGCCCAGGCACAGCTGGCATCGGTAGAAGTTCAACTCCGAGTGACAAATAAGAAGGCCAATAAGCGAGCCCAGCTGAACTAGGAACTCTGAGCTCAACTGAACTCAGCCCTGGCAGAGCGGGATGCCCTTGGTAGTGAACGTGAAGTTGTAAAGGCTCAGATGCACACAACCTCAGCCAATGCTGAAGAGATGATGGCACAGTATAGGGCCGATGTCAAGGCATCCGAGGCCCAGCTAAAAACCACTGTTGAGTACATGAAGCGATTGTCTCGATGGGAGAACCTCGAAGAGATCCATGCCCAAGGCTTGGACCTATCTGCCAAGATCCAGGAGGCGAAAAGGCTTGAGGTCGAGGCCAAGAAGCTGGCTGATCCCAAAGATGAAGAAGGCTCTGAAGGCTCCGACGAACTCGAAGATAAAGAAGGCCCCGACAACTCTGGTAACAAGGCGGGTTCTGGTGAAGATCGGGCGTAGGTGCCTTAGGAATTTTTGCCTTTATTTTTGCACATTGTACATTTATTTTGTTGAGGCAGTTTTCATTGGCCTTTGTGAAGACATTCTGTAATGTATATATAAAGTTTTTTCCCTTTTGGAAATTTTCAAGTCTATTACCTTTAGCATCCTTTTAATAACTGCAAAGATTTAAAATGCCTTAGCACGGAATAAAACATAGTAATAAGTTGTTTTTGGGAGGTCCGAACAAGACTTGTTCTCGATTCAAGTTTTGTTTGAAACTTGTGGGGTCTCGGAATGACCGGAAGCTTTCCCCAAAATATTTGTTTAAATGTTTTTGGACTATAATTTTGCCGAGGGTAACCTTTGAACCGGTTTGAAATTTTGAAGGCCTTATGTTTTGATTACGGGCTTCTGACGTCTCCGAGCCGCTTTTAGGGTGGCTGTAGCCTTTTAGGTTTGGGCACTGCCTAATAGGTCTTGTGCCTCCAGGTTTCGATAACTCGAGCCGCCTGAACTTATCAAGGACGGCAGTCCTTCAGTGGGGGTAGCCCCTTGGGCTCGGATAGGGGTGGCCCTTGGGATTGATAATTCTCGGGCAGTAATAGCCCTTAGGCTCGATACGCTTAAGAAGAAAAAAATATTTGTTAGCAAGGTAGAAACTTTCTTTCATTTATGTGCATAACGTACAAGATTGTATAAAAACTCGTACTGTGGCCGGTATGACCTATGCGGGTATGGTTCATTTGACCGTTTGGGCCTTACAATGAATACTAACTACCAAGCCTAGACTTATCGAGCATAAAGTTTCCTTCCTTGCTAAACATCATGACCCAAGGGTGATGGCCCCCAGTATTCGAGGTCGAACGTCGAGAGGGCTCGGATACTAATGACGTGACCATCGACTATGATTTAAAACCGGTCTTTGATTCTAAGGTAGAATGGTCCATTGTTGCCTCGTTAAAAACCTTGCCGGAAATTCCATTTGGGACAAAACCGGTTCAAGGGAAAAATAGTGCAACGCGTGCTTTTAGACCTAACAACTACATCATCCTTTGGCTGTTGCCTGCAAGTGTTAGTCCAATTTGCAATATATATAAAAAAAGAAGTAATGGGGTCGTACCTTAGCAGTAGTATCGTTTTAAGTGGGTCACATTCCAGTTGTTCGGTAGCTGCTCACCGTTACCTGCTTCGAGTTTATACGAACCTTTGCCGGTAATCTCGATAATTCAAAATGGTCCTTCTTAATTTTGTCCCAGCCTCCCTTCGTTTAGGTTCCGGGTGTTCAGTGTCACATTTCTTAACACCAAGTCCCCGATATTGAAGTGTAAGAGGTTGTCTCTCTGGTTGTAATACCTTTCGATCCACTATTTCTTGGCGACCAACCGGATAAGGGTGGCCTCACGCCTCTCATCTAATAGTTCCAAGCTCGTGCTTATGGCCTCACCGTTTGACTATTCGGTCGCATATCGAAACCTGAAACTTGGTTCTCCTATCTCGATCGGTATTAGTGCTTCAGAACTAGACTTTGAGGTCTTACGGTATGTGCACAGGACTTCGGGGAGCGCGACCGGCGCTCAACCGAGATACCCCGGTCGAGCAAGCCTGCACTATGCCATCTATCCAATTCACCCATAAATAAAGAGAAGATACATTTCATTAATTAGACAGTAAGAGGTCATGTGAATAACACCAGTTCATTTCCATTAGTTACGACATTAACAAGTCTCCAAAATAGTACACTATACGTTCGTAGTTGAAGTGGAACATGTGATACAATTACAAAAATTTTAGTTTAACTTTCCCAAAACAAGATACAACCCACACTATGTCTACGGAGCCTTTAACAAAAACAAAAGAGTGCTACGATAGTGCCGACAACAAGGCCCTGTCTATACCTCAAAATGCTATGTACAAAGGACAAGAGATACAGGACCTCGAAATGAAGTGGGGCTCACCAAGTCAGCTAAGGAGAGGGTGTGCTGCTATCACTGGTCAATACCACCTGCTATGGAACAACCTGTATCCATTGAAGATGTAGCTCCCCCAGCAAAAGGGACGTTAGTACATATGGAATAGTACTAGTATGTAAAACTAAAAACCCTCTCAATAGAACGAGTAACAGTAAATGGAGAAGGAAACATGAAATAAATAAGAGACTCAAACAGTATCAAGGTGTCAAGTTAGGGGAAAGGTAAATTTCAAGTAATTTTCAATCTTTTTAATTTGGGAGATCTTTAGTACCGATATACTACCGTGCTTTTAGCACGGAGTCTGATCTTAGCCTGATCGGCTAAGCCATCTCTCCCCGAGACATCCACTAACAATACCACCATGTGCGCGGCATGGCGTCCGATCTCGGCCCGATCGGCTAAACCGTCTGACCACAATGCCGTGTAGGTTGACATCACATCACATCTCGCTAGAAATAATCTCATCCCATTTAAGGGAAAACATCTTAACACATCAATCTCATCCCATATAAGGGGAAACAACCTCATCACATTAACACGGGGATTTGCCCATCAATCACTCCTACACCGGCATGTGTAGTTTCAGGGTTAGGTTATTTCGACCTACCCTTCCTTGGTGGCTAAACGATAATCCCAAAGAATTTAATATTTAAAGGATTTACCACTCATTTCGTAATCTTTTACATATCATTCATTTCATTGGCACAGCCATAACGCAATATCATTCTTGGCACATTAGTCGTTCTTCATATTTCATACTCCCTTCTTTCACGTTCAAATATCATCATGGGTCATCAACAACAAGGCTTTCCAAATTAAGACTTTAAATACACATGTGAGCAAATAAGAGTCTTAAGCACATAGAGATTTCTTACACAATTTGGCGGAATAACATTCATTTGGGCTTGAACTTGAAGTCACAACATTTTAATACAAAAATCATACTTTGAACACGCTCCCGAAGAATAACATAATATGATAAAAATATCCGGAACACATTTTGAACATAAATATATATATCTTTCGACACCAAGCTTATTCGGAATAGTGAATTTATAATGAACAACTCGGGACTTACAAGAACATTGTGGGATTCAATTCTAAGAGAGAAGTTTAGCCAACATACCTCGCCTTGAGCTTCCTTAAATTACTACAATGATTTGAAAATCTTAGCCACTTCTATCTATTTGGAAATATAATAAAATTGAACACAAATTAGGAAGGATTTTATGGTTCCATATCATTTGAGCATTTTATCAAACAATAGGTGGGCATTTTGATTTCAAGGTCCTCCTATGGTGGATTCCTTCATCCCACTACCCAAAGTCTACCCAATTGCACTAAACAATCTTTCCACAAACCTTGATAGTACATGCATGCATAATGAACAACTCCCGCACACAAGAATTTCTTTTCTCATTATCTATTTTCAGTTAAATCCCGAAACTGAGGGCTAGGGAGTAGAATCTTACCTCTAGGATGAAAACCTAGTGAGTTTTTCTTGTTAATTCTCCAAGACTTGAGTAAGAATTGATGAACAATTAGTTTAGGAACCTCCTCTCACTTTAGAGAACTTCCTCACTCTCAAAATATCAGATTTTTACTTAACAAATGGTCCTTAACGTCTATATATCAAAGTAGGGTCGGGTTATAAAAACCAGAAAATGGACCTTCCGAACATAGTTCTGCGGTCATAGAGTGGACCGAATAATGGATATGCGGTCCGCAAAATGGGCCGCAAAAGTGATGTAAAAAAATGGACTGTTCGGGACAGATTTCTTATAGGTCTGTAGTCTGCAGACCAATTCTACGGTCCATAATGCGTCGCAGAACTCCCCTCCAAAAATCATTATGCTGAATTTGCGATGGATTGTGCAGCCCAGGAAAGCATAATGCGATCGCATATTGGACCGCAAAATGACCCTCCAAAATTGGCCATTTTTTGTTGCACTTTGCGGCCGATCTACGGCCCGTAGAGAGATTCTACGGTCGCATAGTGGACCGCAGAAATGCCTTGCTCTGCTAAATATTTTCCTTAACTCCCCAACGCACTGTTCAACCCAAACAGTCTGTACCGCGGCGAGCAAGAATCTCTGCAATCATCAACACATAAGTCCACCTTGGCATCACGAAACTCCGGGTTCTAGGTCAAATTTTTATGGGGCCTTACAATCACGGCCCTTTTTTGTCGTGCTCGATTATCTGGTAATGCTCTCCGAAGTTTTGGTGTTTGAATCGGACCTAGGGGATGTGGCCCCTATTCTTACGAGGGCATGTGGATTACCCAAACCCCAACTCGAGGGGCTCCTTGCCCAAACTCTGGTTCCTTACAGTCACATCTCTACTTTGTATACTTCATCGGGAACCGAGGCGTTCAGAGGGCTCAGCTTCACCCGTATACAGATAGTCCCTTTATTTCTCGGAGAGTAAGTTTACGAAAATGACGAGAAACAACATATGCACTTCGAATCCTTCTTCAATATGCCGTGATAGAAATGACAAAGAATATGAAACGTCCCGTCAGTCCTATCAGTCTTATCATTATCACTTCAAACATGCGTCAGCCATCAGCATGTCGTCCCTGAATGTGAAACGGCACGAAACCTCTATAAATACTTTCCTTCTTCGTTCATTTCTTACCTTTTGGCCAAGATTCTACCATCAAGTTTTCAGGATATCACTACCCTTCTTCACACTAATATTTTCACCTCCGTTCTTCAAAACTTCTCTATAAGTTGCAAGTTTTTACTTATTTTCTACCCAAATCAGCGCACTTTACCTTTCATCTTTCAACCTCTCTTCATATTTTTTAAGCTTTTTTCAGATAACAATGGCTAAAACTTCAAAATTTATTTCCCAAAAAGTCACTTCTTTTTCTTCACAACCGACTGCTGAAATCGATGAGACTACTCTCGATGTGGTCCTTCTCAAGAGGTTTGCTCCTGGCGCGGGTACCGATGAACCGGCTGCCGAGCCTCCCTTGAAAATGTTCATTCCCGGGGGTTGTTTGGTTGCCGATGACTTTAAGGTTGAGAAGCACTCGTCGGT